ATGCGCAACTCCATAACCGCTGGCCACGAAGTCGTCACCTCAGCAGCAAAGCCCAACAACAAACCACAAACCACTCGAACTAGTTCCCCTCACCCGTTTTCGCCGTCCGTCGTGGCGCGTCGGCGGCCCATTACCAGCCTGGGGGAAAATCGTCGGCACAGGCCGGGCTGTAAACAGCAACCTCGACCCGGGCACATTTGCCCGTCGGAGCGCGAGACAAACTGGCCGGCCGGCCGTGCAAACGGCTCGTTAATCGCCGTCGAATTTCCGGCGTTGTCTGCCCGGCTGACAGATTAGCCCGTGTCGGCAGATTGAAGCATCAAGATGAGCAATTTACGCTAACTTCGACTGCAGCTGCGAGTTAGATGCGGGCTAATTCCACAATCGGGCGCGGTGAGGGGGGCCGCGGAACTTGTTCTTCGGTTTCGGCTTGAGGGACACTACCGTCGAACACGTCCGAGACAGGAGGGGGCGGGGGGGGGGGGGGGGGCACCAGATGGCAGTGCTCCGATGTGACCTGAGACCCTGCTCGGCGCTCTTCTGAGTAAGAGTATCAGGGGGATATCGTCTTGGAGGTAACTGCGCCGCAAGAGGCGCAGTTACCGCAGTAACTGCAGTAACTGCGCAGTAACTGCGCCGCAAGAGGCCGGGTACACTGAAAGACGAACTGTGATTGTCAGACCAGATACACGACACTGGCTTTCAGTGCTACGATAATGATGTGCAGTTGCTATGCAATGTGATTGCTGGCTTTCGTCAGCAGCTAGAAACGAATCACTAAACCACTGCATGTAATATGAACCGTGATTGGGTTACTTGCAGGGATAGAAGGCTAAAATTGCAGGATTGCGGAGTCCGGACAGTAGCACTATACAGATTGTGCATGGATTTACATTCCATTTGAGAATTAGGAACTTTTTGCCTTATTTTCCTGTCAAGTTGGACATCCAGCAAATAGCGTGCGGGCATTTCCTACCAAATTCAGTGAATCAAAATGATCGTCGAAGTGTAATGCGCAAATATCTGAAACGGTTGCCACCTTCATGGTATCGCAGCGCTTAGTGTTGTGTTGAGAATCTATAAGATCATTTCATCCCAAATTTAATTTTAAGATTTAGCCCAAGCATTTGATTGCTGGGAATGGTGCGATGACACTCCATGCTAGACCAGCGTTTGTTGTCTGAGTCTTAACCCTCGCATCCGATTATGAAATAATGGGTAAATGGCACAGTTTTGCGGTAAAAGCTCAACGTCCTGCAATGCTTGACATGGTCGGCCCTGCTCTCGAGACATAACATGACCTTTACTTGGCGCGGCCGCTGCCACCACCCAGTCAGGGGCAGATAGTGAGCACCTTTTGCCTTAAGCGACCCGAGCTAATCCAGCCAAGGGAGGCGCTCTAACCTTCTTAACTATCGGAATAAAATGATGCTGTTTTTTCCAGACAGCTTTGATAGACATCAGACACATCCGGACATTTCTGAAGAAAAAGACAGATGACAAGCCGTCAGATGCGCCAGACAGTACACGCTTTGTGGTGCATGCACACAATCTATCACTAGCAAGAAAATGTCAAAGCGTATCAACTTATTAAATGGTACTACGGCTAAAATAAAAAGACAACAAATAGGACTGATTAAAACGGTTACATAAATCCTTTTGTTCATCGTCCCGGTAGGAATAACTGAATAGCTGCCCAGCTCGTTGCAAACCCATTTACACGAAATGGTTGATTGCCATGTTTTAAAAGAGAGTAAGGTTGTATGGTTTTGGGTTTTTAGAGTTTAAGGTTTTAAGGTTGTCCTGCCTTAAGGATAGCTTTTTAAAAACGTACTCCAATAAAAGCTACGGACCCATGAGTCTGGTAATCGCATTGGAGAGTGCCACTGCAGCAGCATCAAGGTATAATGCAGATACTTATTATAACCCTTATCAAGTCCAAATTACGCTGCGAACGTTTCGTCACAGCACTACACTCCTTTTTTGAAACCCCACAGTGTAGGCCTAGTCTGAGAAAACTACAGTTGTGACCGTCGTCGTCATGGCGACGACATCAACTGACCGCCGTCGTCGGCTGTTACAGACTAAAGGTACCGCTTGACCCGTTTTAACGCGCACATCCAAGGCTTGCGCGCTTACAATGGCACCTCTGCTGGTATTCATGACGTCAGTACAACTGAACGTTTATGATTGGCACAGCGGGCGGCGAGGGCTGTTTATAGAGAAGCATGCTGCTTTAAATATGAGCCAGTGCGTTGTTATAGACCACGTGATACTCTGCTTTCCAAAGCCAAAAAACCGTTCTGCAAAGATACTCTTAGCTTAACGCCGTTGGGTATAAACAAAGGTCATAGCATGCCGTATAGTTGAATTTGCATGATATTGCGCTCATTTTTGTATATCTTTTCCCTAAATGGGGTATTTCAAGCTCTCGTAGCAGTCATAACAAAGACATTTTGACCAAAAAGTGCATTGCAAACATTACGGAATGCACACCTTGGCAAGGCAAGACAAATGCAATTACTTCCAAAATGATGGCGGGGGTCCAATGAGATTTCACGTGCCGGGCGGGTCGTTCAGATCTAAATTTTGAGCTATTTAGAAGGATTTCGAGAAAACTTGTATTACTGCTGAAATCTGGCGCGTCTGATGTAACAACAAGTGAAAAGTACAAAATAGCGGCATAAAGTCAATCGGCAACAAAAAAAAAACACGCCATTGTCTGCAAAAAAGTGCGGCACTGAGTAAAAGAACAGTTCTATCCTCACTATCGTAAAAAGAATACATAACGACCATACTGTCTCTTTTCTCATGCCGGCGTGTTTTCTTTTTCTACTGACGTTTTTTGAAAGACAGCTGGGTTGGCGAGTTGTGCATCGGAGCATGGAACCGTTCATGGGTTTGAAGAAAAGCTCTACAGCGCCCCGGCTTGAAATTCACAGCATTACAATTATGCATCCGATACGTCTCTGATTGACCAATTAGGACCACTGTAGTTAGCGCAAAAGTCAGAAAATTCACGTCGTACCGCGCACAAAAACTTTTGACCCGGTGTGCCGTGAAAGTCTGGCTTTTCTATACAAAAAAATGTGCGATGATCGACTCAAGATAATAAAACAACATTTTCCTTGTTGCCGGGTTCATCAAAATCGGCCTGAGTCCGATGCACGGCCATGTAAATAGCGGGCTTTAAAGACGTGAACCCTATGAGCTAGGAGAAAAAGTCCGCCGTGAAGCGGTCGTGCTACCAGCGTACTTCGGCGGGGGCTGAGAGCCCCCGGCTGGTTTCGGTACAGAAACTGTGAGAAAACTTGCAGCTTGATAGCCCTGCGGGCTGTGCAAGTACAGGGCTCCATCAATATGCACGTGTGTATGAAGAGCAGGTGCTTAAAATGGGTGTGACCGCTGGTAGTACGTGTGAACGACTTCGAATTCTAACCTGGCATCATATGTTTCCGTACAAGCATGACCTTTCTTCCTTCTTAGAACCAGCAAACCGCAACCTTATCAACACATACGTGTTTATAGACATGTTCTTACATCTCTGCAACGCATTTCTAGGAGAAAATCCCTCAACAAAGCCATGTCGTTTGAAAATAAAGGCTGAGACCCTTTAAAAGTTCCGAAAAATTTCGCACTGCAATCCTTTGTGAAAAATACTTACATGATCCATATTGCAATACGGAACCAAGGCAAGTCACATCTACGACCTTCTCTCACATACATCCGCCTCAAACACAGGTCGTCCTGTGCACAGGGCCGCGCTAGGAAACCTCGCCATCCAAATCGGCGCGAGTCGATCGTCTGTGCCCACTGACCCGTTTCTTCATCTATCCGGCACTGCCCGCAGGGAGGACGTTCCAATCGGACGGCGCCTTGACCATCGACGGGGCAGCTGAATATTTCACATTTCGCTCTGCACGGCGACTCCAGTGCGCAGGTCCGGTTCAATAATGGACCAGGATGGTGGACACTGCTGGTCGCTGCAGCCGGGCCTTCCGGGATAGCCGGTGATTCCGAGCTCAGCTGGGATCGGTCGGAATCGGCCGAGATCGACCGGGATCGGCCGGGATCGCATCGGGTCGAGGTGAGGTCACTGAGAGTATCTCAAGCGGCGATAACAGGACATCACCGCGTAGGGGTGGCTGGGATCATTTGGGCTCGGTTGAGACCGGGGTAGTACTCAAGCCACGTAGATCATTTTGAACAAGTTCATCGAGTCGGTATACAGATGGCATAGCTATTCATCGGGTCAAGTTGACTTTCGTAAAAACATTGAGAGTCACACATACCCACAGTGGACCTGGACTTGATCATCTGCTTTTCTGAGCTTTCCTTCCTTGTTATGATAGGTTTCGTACGAAACATCAAGCGTTAAGAGGTTGGTGTTGTATTTCCGCTCACGATCTCAGTGTGGCAGCTGATAGCTTCAAAAATACATACTCAGCTGATTCAATGATCCATGCTGTAATATCGTGACTTGACATCCGCTACCAATATTGACCAGAACAAAAAAGGGCATGCATGACTCGTAGGTAATCGCTGTACACTTGACTCTTCAAGCTTACTAAGCGGCGGAGTTGTTCGTACTACTAACGAAGGCATTTACAAACGTGTGCCTCTACTTCCCTTCACGATGGAATCACCATCCGTAGGGCGCTATTCCAGGTGCGCCTACAATTCACACTGTCAATACGATTTCAGTAACCTCTGTTTACTCCCGTAATGACCCTTAACTTCTCAAGTGGTGCAACTGTTTCTCATCGCGTCGATAGAAAGCGATTTCCAATGCAGCAGCACCCTTGGGTCATTTTCGGAAGGAAGACGGATTATACTAACAGCATCCATAAATCAGTACAAATGGTCTCTTGCGGAAACAAACACCGCAGAAGGGTAATAGGGCAGACTGGGGGTTGGTGTGAATACCAAGGCGTTGCCTTATGGAAATGATGCGTTGATGAAATGGACTGTTATGCACCGATGTGGGACAACTGGCGTACCTGGTCTTTTGACTTGGAGAACCGTATTATGGTGTCCGCCTTGTGCCTTTTGACGACTTCCCAGAAGTGGGGTGACGTGTCGTCGTCTTCCAGGACGTACGTGACGTCATAACCTGGCACCAGCACAGCGTCGGCGCTGTCTGACAGCCCTGCCGAACATCAGCAGTGTCAGGCTCAGCTGACCGCATGACAGCTAGCTGCTGTCACAGGTGTCAGTGGCGTACCACAGCGACCATATCGCGAAACCGTGCACCATAATGACCATATTTGAAGCTGGTTCCACTGGGATCAGCGACCGTCTTTAAGCACGTTCAGCATCAGTCCATCATATTCACCCCAGCGTCCACAACATGCATCACAACGACGTGCCACGAAGCCTGGTGGCATCAGCCATCAACAATTCATGGCCATTTCCCGCACACAAAGCCTGAATGCCTGAATCATGACTCCACTGGGGGACCGCCCCTCTGAGCTCCCTCCCCGCCTCCCCGATGGCCCTGCCGCCGCCACCAGCCTGCCGTCAGGCTGCCGCCTAGTGCCCCCCCCCCCCCCGCCTTCCCCTCCACTCACCGACAGGCTTTGTGCAGCCATTGGTGCCGTTGGTGCCGTTGGCACCGACGTGATGACCGTTGGCGGGCGGCGCGGCTGCGCCGTCGATCGCCGCCATCTCCTTCCAGAAGCCGGCGTCGGCGCCGCGCCGCAGGTCGCGCACATACCCGGCGAACATGTGCGCCGGGATCGCCTCCTGGCGCCAGTCTGGCTGCGGCGCGTCCGCCGCCAGCGGCGGCCGGCCGCGTCGCGCTCGCCTCCTGCGGCCGGTGACGAGTGAGGTGAGGTGAGAGCCCTCGCGGCCGTCAGACCGGCAGCCAGCCGTCATTCTGGCCACGTACGGGCATCGCGCGTCTCGACGTATTTACATAGCGCCGCGCGGCCTCCGTCAATACGGTGCTTCGACGGCGCCCGCCGCCGGCGAAAAACAACGCTGAATGAAGGGTAATCTGGTGGCGGCGCGTGCCGCGCTGGACCGGGGTGCGATTGAAGGCTGGGGCGGAGCGGGAGGCCGGCAGGAGCCGGTCCTGGTGTACGGGCGCCGCCGGCGGCCCGCACCAGCGCCCCGAGGCCATTCTGTGCCACGAGTGCGCTCGGTGTGGCGGGGTAAGGGCACCAGTGAGAGGGTTAGCTCGGTAGGGACCGCGTTGCGGCCTGCATGGGCGGTGGTTGCTGCCCAGTCCCGCACCGGGCACTGGTGTGTAGCTCAGGCCCGTACCGGACGCTGATGTGTAGCCCAGGCCCGCACCGGGGGGTGGTGTGTAGTCCAGTCCCGCACCGGGCACTGGTGTGCAGCCCAGGCCCGCACCGGACGCTGGTGTGTAGCCCAGGCCCGCACCGGGGGGTGGTATGCGGCCCAGGCCCGCACCGGGCACTGGTGTGTAGTCCAGACCCGCACCGGGCAGTGGTGTGCAGCACAGGCCCTCACCGGACGCTGGTGGGCAGCCCAGGCCCGCACAGGGCGCTGGTGCACAGCCCAGGCCCGGCACCGGACGCTGGTGTGCAACCCAGGTCCGCACCGGGCACTGGTGTGTAGTCCAGGCCCGCACCGGGCACTGGTGTGTAGCCCAGGCCCGCGCATGGCGCTGATGGGCAGCCCAGGCCGGCACAGGGCGCTGGTGTGCAGCCCAGACCCGCGGCCGGCGGCCGCACCTGGTCCGCGTGACCAGGTGTCGGGCTCGGCGCTTCCGGCACGTTGCGTGGCATGACCTTTCACGCAGGATGGATAACATTTAGTGTAGTGCGACACTTCCACGGATATATCGAGCTTGGCAGGCGGATCTTGGCATTACCTGGGATGTTGGAAATGACGGCTTTATGCTTAAAGACATTGCAATGATGAACACAGCCATTCCGCAAGCGAGCTACTGAGTACATACAAAAGATGCTGTGGTTGACATGCACTGCAATCGAAATGCATGCATAATGTCGCAATGGGATTTCTTACCTAACGCTGGATTGCGTTTTATGACTGTCATACTTAGAGCGTATTTATGCTAAGTAACCCTACCAAAATATAAATTTACGTTGAAGGTCGTGGGTCATGCTCGCGTCGGACGTAAATCACGAACAAAAATAAATCTTGCATGACATCTGAAATGATAATGCATGGTGGAGGGTTACCTCTTTGTTTAACTGAAGCAGCCCATAAGCCCGTCTGATACATTCCCAGTGCGCACCTACATCTCTTCACAACACGTTATCCGCCTTCTGAACCTGACGACATTCCAAACTAAAGACTTTGACATTCCAAACTGAAGACTTTGACATTCCAAACTGACGACATCTCGGTCCCGGCACGCTGCAGCCACGATGCTGGAGCACGCCGGGAGATTTCGTCGATCGAGGCTGCAGATCACCGCGGCCCCGCCATGAGGCGACACCCTCAGACCGGGCTGGGGGGTGACGGTGACGGCCGGACTGCCTGGGACCGCGCCCCGTCCTCACCTGCAGAGCGCGACCATGACGAGCAGCGCGACGGCGCCGACGCCGACCAGCACGCCGACGCCGACGGCCAGCGTCGAGTCCTCCGGTCGCGGGTGGATCAGGCGGAACCGCTCACAGCCTGCGGCGGACGGAGGGCGCTCACGGGCCGCCGGTCCTCACGCACGCACGCACGCACGCACGCACGCACGTGCGCACGCACGCACGCATGCACGCATGCACGCACGCACACAAGCACACACACGCACGCACGCACGCACACACGCACGTACACACGCACGCACGCACGCACGCACGCACGCACACGCGCACGCACGCACGAAGTGAGGGCAGCTCGGCTGCGATCCGGGCTACGGTTCATTTATGTCTCGTCTGCAGCATGTTTGCGCACCTGGCCAATCAAAGTAATGAGCTACAAAACAATCAGATAAGTTTAGCTCAGCATATACTTTACCACATGCATGAGAATTGGGATGTTGTGCGAAGCCCTGAGCAGGTCTGAGACAGCTTACAGACCTGCGCGCGGTCTTGGCAGCAACGCGCTCCACGGCTCTGTGAAAACTCCCCGGTACACAGTCGATCTGCTATACCGGCTTCTTCTCACTGCCTGTATCTTAAAGTAGGTCATGCCCTCATCCAGATTATGCATGATTATCTGGAAATAAATAGGATACAGGTCAGGATGAAAGCGGAAACACAACAGATTGCATAAAAACAACGATAACTTTTGATATCATATTTTTTTAAAGATATCGGGAGCACTTTTTAACGGACTAGTTGCCGGCTTACGTCGCTCCTGACAGCCATTTGTAGTATCATGTGCTCACTGTAGCCGTCAGGCGAACCGTAAACAGCTCTTGTCACTTGTGTGATAGCATCTCAGAAAATCAGCTCTGGGAACGTTGCACTCATATCAAAGTGAATCTGGTAATGCTTTGAGTTCGGCACTACGCCTAGCGGACTGCTCCACGGCCGTCAGATAGATGCGGCGCACTTCCAAAGCACCGCGGCGCTCTGAAAAACGACTCACGATTGACACACAAACACCTTCGCCGCCGGCAGATGCGCGGCGCGTCTCCCGCTTTCGCGTCCCATTCCCGGAAAACTGCGTCATCGCTCCAGTGCTGGCGGCGGCGCCAGCAGTCCCAGGAGGCCGAACCCAACGTCCGGGCGCAGCGTGTCTGGAAGTCGCCGTCAGCCGTCGCAGACCGGCCCACCGCCGACGAGGCGGTCCCCGTCGGCGGCGGCGGAGACGCCCGCGGCAGCCCGCCGGAGACGGCCACGGCGGAGACGGCCACGGCGGCCAGCGGAGACGGCCACGACGGCCAGCATAGACGGCCACGGCGGAGACGGCCACGGCGGCCAGCGGAGACGGCCACCGCGGAGACGGCCACGGCGGCCAGCGGAGACGGCCACGGTGGAGATGGCCACAGCGGCCCGGCGGAGACGGCCACAGCGGCCAGCGGAGACGGCCACGGCGGAGACGGCGGAGACGACCACAGCGGCCCGGTGGGGTGCACACGACGACACGCGAACTGTGGGTTCCTAGAGACCCGACCTTCCACGATCTCAGGTATGAGAGTTCGTAATGCACGTTACGCGCTTACTATTTTTCCTCTTAAGCACTGTGACGAAGACACAAACAAGTGTTGACACTTTCTGAGCTTTCAAAGTAATTGTGGCCGAATTTCCGGTGAAAAATTTAGTATTCGGTATACCTCAAGCTGTTTCCCCATGCTTGATGCCCACACTCAATGAAATCCCACTCCTGCGGGCGAAGACATGCGCAAAAACGCTCGCGGGGACTGACTGACGCCTGCCGGCGATGAAGCCTTTGAGCTTCCGGCCAGACAGTGATCCCCACAAAACGTGTCGGGATCTGAGAGCGGCAGCGCACGCACGATATTCTCCCCAGAGTGCTATCAGTGACGGTCGGATCGAGTTTCCGACAACAGACGAATTAGGCTCGTCGCCGTGAGCCGCCGAATTTTCCGCCGGGCGGCCGCGTCTAAAGCGGCGAGTTTTCGACGCTCGCGGCCTGCGAGGCGCCGCTCCTCGACGCCAGCCGGGCGCGGCCGCTCTTGAATCGCGGAGAGCATCCACCGAACCCCAGATCCCGATATAGAGGAAATAACGAGCGGCGCGTCGCGTATTTCACTAGCGAAACGGCCCGAAGTTGCGCGTCGCAACTTGTTGAAAACGCCATCGGCCGGATGTTGGGTCGACGGTGAAACGGCGCCGTCCGCCGCGCCAGTGTTTAACAGCCTAGTCGGCCGTTTACGTCGTCTCTGGCGGCCATTTTTTGCGATATCGCCCGCTCATCGCAGCCGTCAGAAGAATAGGAAGCCGTCTTTATGAGGCATATGACGTGCTGGACAGCTGCGGCTGCTCTGGCAATGGTAGCCGCGGCTGGGGCAGCTCCTCGTAATGGATTTCGTTGCGAGCAAGCCGACCGGTAGAGAAACGCAAAGCCGGCTTAAACCTCGTGGTTGTTTCATCCCCGTCAAGGTGAAAACTTCCGTCCATACTATTCATTGCAGGTTTCTAGTTAATGTCTATCTAAAGAGCGTCCCCCTTTGGCTCCCCGCGGACAGATCCTCCCAGTAGTCAGAATCCATACCCATGTAGCGCGGGTGTTGAATTGTTTGAACAGGCTGACAGCAAAAATAAGGAGCCTTGTGTGACTGTCCGCGTGTGCCTCCGGAATACCGTGGACACCGTCAGCAAACACACAGATTTACTGTCGTGAGACCTGCGACAGCCTGTCGAGCCCCCCCCCCCCCCCCCTGACGCTGCCACTCAGGAAGGAGTGCGGATCGCGTGCTCCGTCGTGGTTAGACGCTGTTTACTCGGCCTTTAAAAGTTTCGCGGCAGAGTGAGTCTCGACACAAAACGTTGTGCGTGCAAGCCATATAAATTCGATACGACGAACAGAAACAGCACTGCTGTTCACGAAGAGAGCGTGGCCAGATACTGTCGTCTGGCGTTCCTAGCAACACGTCATTTCTTTTGTAAAGCACGAGGTCAAAAGTCAACTGACACCTGCGACAACAAAGAAAATCAAACCAACAACCCTCGCGAGCTACAAAGCAACTCACCAGCTGGCAGAAGGACCCAAGCCCAGCCAAATGTCAGAGACCACCAGCTGGCGGAAGGGCCCAAACCCAGCCAGATATCAGAGACCAACAGAAGCCGTACCGTGTGTTCGCCGAGTCCAGCCGGCGTGCGCGTCAGCTGGTACTTCCGGTCGCGCTCGTTGCGGTAGCCGATGGTGAAGAAGCTGACGGCCGGCTGGCTGTCGGGCGGCGGGCCGAGCCAGCGCACCTGCGTGGCACCGTCCTTGACGCAGCTGATGTCGAGCACGAGAGGCAAGCCCGGCGACGAGGTGTCCGTGCGGAGGCGCACGTGGCGAGCCGGGCCCCGCCCCACCGACGTCTCCGCCAACACGCCGACGTTGTAGAAGGTGAATGGGTCTGGAAGGCGGCACGTTGGCTGTCAGGTTATCACGATCGAAGGTGAGTCTGTGTGGAGACAGGCGGGGTGGGTCTGTGTGGAAACAGACGGAGTGGGTCTGAGTGGAGACAGGCGGGGTGGGTCTGTGTGGAGACAGGCGGGGTGGGTACGGGTAGAAACAGGCAGGGTGGGTCTGAGTGGAGACAGACAGGGTGGGTCTGAGTGGAGACAGGCGGGGTGGGTCTGAGTGGAGACAGGTGGGCTGGTTCTGAGTGGAGACAGACAGGGTGGGTCTGAGTGGAGACAGGCGGGCTGGGTCTGGGTGGAGACAGGCGGGGTGGGTTTGAGTGGAGACACGCGGGATGGATCTAGGTGGTAACAGGCGGGGTAGGTCCGAGTGGAAACAGGCGGGGTGGGTCTGTGTGGAAACAGGCGGGGTGAGTCTGAGTGGAAACGGACAGGGTGGGTTTGAGTGGAGACGGGTGGGGTTGTTCAATTCATGCTGTATGAGTTAACTGTTGCCTTATCTGGTTATCCAAGCAACTTTCTTATGTTTTATGTGCAATAACCCACGTTGTTCATGTGCCTTTACAACCAAAATGACATGTATCCAAGGTATATGTTATGATTGGCATTAAAACCGCGGTTGAGATTAAGGCAATGACAATACACCGTAGCATATGCTCTTCCTAATGCGGCAAGCAGATGCATTAGGAAGTGTATCTTGACGCCGATGTGGAAATGAAATGGAATTTTTGAACGCTCTTGACGCAAAATTGTATCAATACCTCATCTCTACTCTCCACGCTTTCAGTATTTTGAAAGTACTCTACCATACATACCATACATACATACATACATACGGAACGGCAAACGAAAAGTCGCAGGCGCCGGTTAGCATGTGAAACCACGGCACGAAAGCCAAGCAATAACTACCCGCCCAAGCCCATTAAAATTAACGGCAGGTTCTGAGGTGCTCGCCCTCGCTGGACACAAGCCAAGCATAATGGCCGGACTATACGCTAACTCGGAAGCCGCTAATAAGAGCCGCCTCTTCCGCGCTCGGCGATGGATGACAGCCTAATGAAATGCAGCGGCGACAATACCATGGCGTGCCTGACTGTGGCTCCGCTTGATTCATTTGGCAAGTCCGTCGGCGAAGGCTTAATTGATGTGGACGGGCAAAATCCAGAGCTGGCAGGCGCAGTTTTGCGGAGCGCTCCGCTCAGCAGAATGAGCAATAAAATCAGCTAATGGGTGAAGCGGGGATGGACCACCTCGTACGAGGCCCATACCCGGCCGCAGTTGTGCCGATGGTGGGTCTGGCGGCGACAGGACATGTCCGGTGCTGACTGGGTTACGCAGGTCGATCCGGCCACCCCTAACCCACGTGAATCGGGCGTGTCACTAGACGGGAGGCTCATCGCTGCATGTCAAACACTCTGAAACACATCACTGTACGCCCAGCACTCCGGCAAACCTCACTCACGTCCAACACCCTGACAAACATCATTGCATGTCCAACACTCCGAAACACATCATTGCACGCCCAACACTCCGACAAACATCACTCACGCCCAACACTCCGACAAACATCACTCATGTCCAACAATTCGACAAACATCACTCACGTCCAAAACCCCGACAAACATCACTCACGTGCAACACCCAGACAAACATCACTCACGTCCAACACTCCGGCAGACATCACCCATAGCCAACAAAGTGACAAACACCATTCACAGTCAACACATGACTCACGTCGAACACTCCGACATGCATCACTCACGTCCAACCCATCGACACACATCACTTGTATCCAACATTCCTACATACGTCACTCACATCCACCACCGTGACAAACATTACGCAAGTCCAACACTCCGACAAACATCACCCACGTCCAACACTCCAACACATGTCACTTACATCCAACACTGTGCCAACATCACTCACGTCCAACATTCCGACAAACATCACTCACGTCGAACACTCCGACAAACATCACTCATGTCCAGCACTCCGACAAACACCACCAACGTCCAGCACTCACTCACGTCCAACACGGAAACGCACCACACACTCCGAGGTCAGCTCAGTGAAGTCTTTTCCGTTCCCGTGGCCTCAGTTCGGGTCGCGGGTGACTGGACGAGCCCGGTCGGCGGCGCTGCCGGCGGTCGGCGGGCTGCTGGCGTGTCTAATGTCCATTACGTGCCGGGCGGGCGCCGTGTACTCGCCTTGTCTATTACCTGGGCCGGAGCGACCCCCGTGTCGCCGGCGGCGGAGCGTTGTCGCCAGACTGATCACTGCCGGACGACGGCTCTCCGGAGAGGGTTACGCCGGAGGAGCCACAGACAGGATGGCGTACAGGAGTTTGCTCAACGTTTTGCTGTCCGAAAGAGGAAAAGTAGCGGCTGTGGTTTAGGAAATGGGAGTTCGTTATATTTTCGGATCGATTCAGAAAAAGGAATCTGCTATGTGCGGCCGGCAACGAAGTACACGTTGACATATCTGGCGCGATTTTCATCATCCTTTTGACCACAATGGTCTGCATTTTAGAACAAAAATCCCACGGTTTCTGTTATTGTGCCCGTTGACTAGTTCCAGAAACAGGACTGCCTCCTGTTTGACTTTGGAAGTCAATGCCTCCTGTGGCTTGGCTGCACTAGGGGTGATCTTTCTAGAAACCCCAGCATTTTTCACGCTACCTTCCTGAACCTCTGGCATCATACCGGACAAGACTCCAGTTTGCTTTGTGCTGGGTCTGCTGCTCTTGCTCCATAAAGGCACCACACCGTGTACGGCGCATTATACTGATGGTGATGGCGTCACCAAACCAGTATACGGGTCCATATGCAGCCGGCAGGGAAGCCTGGCGGTTTGCCTTTGAAGAAAGCTTATTGTGTGTGCCGTCTGAACAGCTTACCGATCAATTCGCGTACATGCCATCCCTGAGACAATGCGGCGCTTTCGAAATAGTCCCAGGCTGAGAACGGCATTCCCTGCTTTCCCTGCAGCATTATCTTTTTTACATGTCAGTAATATGCTAGAAGAGCACGCTAAGCCCTATTCAGCGAGCTGACCATTATCATCGGGTAATAACGAGAGCACCGTGAACGTCCACATGAAATGCCTAATGTTGCCAGGATCTTGACGCATTTCTTCCTAGGAATGTAGCACGACCTGTCATCAAGCGTCTTTGGCCGGACAACCTAAAACCCCGCATATCTGGCTCATCAAGTCTGTAGAGGGGCAGTTGAAACGCCCCACAAGACTGGCATGCAAGCCCAGCCCCCACCGTAGAACCCTGGCACCACAACCGCTCTACGCCGTACTTGTTCTACTAACGTAAAAAGGCCTGCTTTTTACAGAGCCGTGAATCGGATATGATCAAACAAATTTGGATGAGCCCAGCACGAAACGAATGATTGTTTAATTCTCTTGAGTCGATCTATTGTCCAAGTTTTGTCTAGAGAGGCCAAATTCCCACGGTCTATGGGGTTAATGCTTTCAGGGATCCTGCGCCGTGAATTTTTTGACTTTCGTGGCATGTCCAGTGATCCCAGTAGCTGAATCAGCAACATGCCGGATCCGTGATCGAAAGGTTTTTAATTTGAGATCGGAGCGTTTAGAACTTTTTTCCAGTTTCCTATGGAGTATGCTTCATTGTTTGCTGTCAGTCAATACATGATGTCAATTTAATGTAGTGTACAGCTGCTTGAAAGCTTCTTGCCAAAGTCAGGGCACAACATTGACTAAAATGATAAATGCTTCAATTACCGGTTGCCAGACGCGTAGTAAAAACAGAAAACAGCCTTAATTGCATGCCTAGTGTATTTCTAGTTTAATACTGCGACGTTTTGTGCATCGAACTTTGCTCTACCAGGTATCTTTTACCCTGACGTAAGCCAAGATCCACCGTCTGTGGCGGTACAGCCATCACCCAGAGTGTTCAGCGGGTTGGCCTGACAACCCGCGCGTCTGGTGGTACCCACACCAGCATCTTGGCTGGAGCTCGTGGTACGTTTGACGGTGCGCCCCGACGCTCGGAATGTGTGGCAGAACCAGGGGCGCAGCTAGAGTTCCCGTGAGGGGAGCTGAGTGAGAAAGGATTACGTTGTTTTTAGCTTTCTCTCAGAAGTAAAATGGTGCAAAATAAAATATAAAAAATAAAATGGTGCAAATGCTGGCCTAAAGGAGAGCTGGGGTTCCAGCCGCTACCTTGAGGAAGGAGCTGGGGTGTGTATGTGTGTGTGTGCTGTAGGGGGAGGTGCGCTGTCCCACCTGCGAGCGACGTGGCGTAGCGTCCAGTGCGTACGGCGGGACAGCCTAACCTCATCCAGGGTGTCTGGCGGGACAGTCTAACATCCAGCGTGCGTGCGGAAACTTACCGGCCAGGTGGTCTCGCCACTTGACGCACCTTGTTACTTCCTCAACATTTAACTGCAGCTATACTGACAGAGACGGACGACTCAAACTGCAGCCCGACTTCCCAAGGCGTTCGACTCTGAACTGCACGTGGATATCCTAGAGCGCGCAGCCTTGAAGTGCAGCTCGGGTTGAGTCGGTTGCCCTTGGACCACATCCCAGCACACTGACGCGTTCGATCTTGTCTTAGAGCTTAGCATTCTAAAACGAGCACTGCAGCTTGACTTACTGAGACGGTCGACCTTGTGCTGCAGCCAGCGGTCCTCGGAGGCGGGCAGCCAGCGCAGCTCAGCCGGCAGGCCCACGCCGCTGATGTTGATGCAGTAGCGCAGCAGCATGCCGTTGCGCTGGGCGGGCGGCGTCCACATGAGCAGCACCCAGCTGCTACCCACGTCCGTGTAGCGCACGGAAGCCGGCGCCCCCGGCACTGTAGCAGGTGCCACAGACAGTGTTAGGCAGTGTGACGCACGTAAGCCGGCGCCCCTGGCACTGCAGCAGACACTATTAGGCCGTGTAGCGCACGGAAGCCGGCGCCCCTAGCACTGCAGCAGACACTGTTAGGCCGTGTAGCGCACGGCAGCCGGCGCCCCTGGCACTGCAGCAGACGCTGTTAGGCCGTGTAGCGCACAAAAGCCGGCGCCCCTGGCACTGCAGCAGGCGCTGTTGGGACGTGTAGCGCACGGAAGCCCGCGCCCCTGGTACCGCAGCAGACACTGTCAGGCTGTGAGCGGAGATGACAGATTCAGCGAGTCGCACGGAGACGCTGCTGAGCCGACTGGTATCGCCAGATATGCGGTGAGACGACAGCGCGTTATTGATAACGCGACATGACATCAATGACTGTATGCCTGGAAGCAGACTGGAATACAGGAAAATCGAAATCCCGGCATAAGAAAACACATACGACAAAGATCACAAGAGGGTCATAAAAATCACACACAAGCGAGATCCAATAAGAAAGCAATTCAGGGGCGCTCCTGACCCGCGGTAAGCATGGTCGTTAGAGCTGCGGCCTCGTCTCGAAGTAAGCGACAGATACAGTGAAGTCAAGGCACGTCGCCACTTAGATTCAACTCGCGCTTGAGGCTTCGTGTTGCCACGGGAAACGTAAAAAGCTAATTCACGGCCGAGCCGTATCATGAACTTGCCAGGCGCGGTACAAATCCTCGGTGCTAATTGGCTGACAAGCTGGGGCAAATCGTTTCAAAATTAGAACCGTTTGCGTGTCGGGATTCGAAATCGGGCCGCGGCTATCGGAGACTCCGAGCAAACGACGCCCGGGGACCCGGGTTTGACTGAGATGATAATGTATACATTTCAAGCTCATTTGGCGGATAAATCCTCGTCAACGGAACTCCTTTTACTGGCGTTAGAGGCAGGAGGGCAATCCCACGTCATTTAGCTCAAGATTGAGCTTAAGCTACAAAACAAAACAGTGGGTTGGTCCGGTGCCTAATGAACCCAATGGTGTTAAGTTCGATGTCATATAACTATCTCTTGATCGTCCGGGTTTCATGGAAAACATGAAGTTGAAAATGTAGCACTTCGACAACGTAGAACAATAATTTCTCAAAACGGTCCATTACATAATGTTCCGAACCGTTTGCAGTTGCATAGAATAGATCCAAGAGCAAATAAGGTTGCCGCAAGCCAGAGATCTCGCCTGATCTCGGAAAGGTCATTTAACCGTTGGAAGATACACGCTTGATTTAGAACCGTCGTTCTATGCAGGTCTGGTCTAATATGTTCCAGGCACTCCAAAAACAACAGCACAACATAGCTAAGACGTAGTTTAGACGGTCCCCAAGGCTTTCGAATCACAACCTGACCTTACTTGGGCTGGATATTCGACCAAGGATATGCAATGAAAGTGTCATAGCAATACCAAATTTTGAATGCGCTGCAATATATCTGTCCCGTATCACGGAATTGGAGCCTGACAATAACAATCACCCGTTGCCCGGCCAAAGTCAATGTATATGATATATCGTATGTGAGATATAATTGACGATGGAGTACTTACGAAATGACACGAATAAGAAGACGCCAAGATCCTTCGTAAAGATGCCTACTTGGAGTGCAGTTTCGACAAAAAGCCTTGCGCAAAAAAGCGCCAAATGATTTACAGTGGTATTATTCAACGGTGACAAAATCCAGGATTTACACGTTTTTGCTCCAAGTGCAATTTGTTTAGCCGGTTCCATTTAGCACAAAAGGGATGCCTGATGGGATTAACGTGGCTTGAATCGCATTTAATTAACAAAACCTGGTGCCGAACGAAAGGATCTCAGCGCCTACGCCGGATGTTGCAAGATAAATAATCTCCTTTTCAAACGTCTTCCATCACGGACTGCTCCGGCTGCCTACCTCTCTGCGGCGATTAAACACAGGGCTGTAAGAACGACTCAGGAAAGCATAACTCAAACTGTTGTTAAAAGCTTCATTACCTCATAATGATACATATAAAATCAAACCTGAAAAATTTTTGATGTCCCCTGTACGCCCGCTGTGCTGCGTCAATTAGTTCTCAATCTCGCAAGTGCCACGCAATACCGCACGACTTATTATTGCTTTGCAACAAACGCTAAGATCGACCGCGGCCCCTAACAGCTAACGCCGCGCGGCTGAAACAAAGATTACGATGGCTTCAGTGGCATGACGTTCTTCTAGGAACTCCTTTTGCGTTGATGTCCATGAATGGATATATCAATAAAAATGAGTTCCTAACGTCCTCCATCCAATCAGCGACACAGTTCAGAGCATGGCAACCCTCAACAAATGTGCTGTCTTTCCTCAAATAAGTGGAATAATATGTGACTAACACATATTTGGTATTTCTTGCAACAAGCGGAGGAATGTGTGACTGAGATGGCTCACTAAAGGAGACGTATCACACAAATAGCCTCAAAAACTCTTCATCTGCAGCTGTCTCGACTCCCGTCACATCAAAAGTCTGACGCAAACTCTGTCCAACGGTTACACGGTCGTGTCCGTTGGCGGCAACCTCTAAAGCACGGTATCGCGACACCACTAAGTACTGTAAGTACACCGCACCACCGCTTTCAGCATATGGGTAACAGACTGGGGAAACCTTCGTCCTCAGTTATCGGCATTGTCGATCAGTTTAGAATGACCGTCTGGTCCGACTTTCAGCGAATGAAAGAGCACGGTGTAAGCGCACACATGTCAACTGCCTTGGAGTTGAGAGCCTCTGGATGCTGCTCCGTAGACATCAAGCAGACCGAATCCTAGAAGTTACCGTCTACTACATTTGTTTGTCTTGTGATTTACGAGAGACCATGGTGGTAGCATGCGCGCAGCCATAATTAACTCAAGTGAACAATTAACAGCCCTTTAAAGGGAATGTTCCACATTTGTATGGCGTTTTGGACTGAAGTAGCCATCTTGCGGACATTTTGATGCAGTTCACTGATATGCCCTTTTTAAGACCCAAAACGCTCTGGTTCCTGAGCTACACGCCCGCAAAGTACGAAAAGGCTTATTTACAGCCAACTTTAAAATCGCCTTCTGAATAATGACGCTATAGAAACGTCATCAGATTCCAGTGATATTACAGGCTGCTTTTTGTTTATGGTCAAAGCAGCATAGCCACTACTACATTCGCAAAGGCGATGATGCTGCACATGTGGTACAGTCCGCGGAAGATGATTGACGGTCAGTAAGATTTTACTGCTGAATGCGTGTCGCGAACACAAGCGTGAGCAATTTCGGGTTGTGCGACACCCGTCGTGAAACGGGTAATTTTTCCTTATTTTTAGGTCACAGGTCAATGTTATAAAAAAGAGCGTCACTCTCTGCAAAAAAGTACGGCACCCAAAAAGTGGGTGCTCTCCCAAAGTTATAAAAAAGAAGACGCGACAGCAATTTTTTTCTCCTCCTGACGTTTTTTTCTTCTTCTGCTAACATATCTCTTAATGACAGCTTGGTTGGCGCCTTGTGTACCGGAGCACAGAACCTTGCACGGGTTTATGGGTTAGCAAGGTATTATGAAGCTAGGGAAACATTACAGCAATACAAATATATATATATATATATATATATATATATATATATATATATACAAATATATATACAAGTATATATTATATTGCATATATATATATATATGTATATATATATATATACATATATATATATATATATATATATATTTCTCTAAGCATTTCACATATATGGTACGATAAATTTAAATCTTGAACACAAAATTATGTTTTACAAGCAGAAGCTCTTGAGCCGCGTTACCATGAATCCCCCATTGGGACTTTGTTTCGAAGGGAGGCCACGGTGAAGTCCGGTGTTGTGACTGAAGATCTATGCGGAAATTGTGAGAAAACCTGCAATTTGATGGCCCCGCGAGCTGTGTAAATGTAAGATTACACTTATTTGAAAAAAGAGTGTGAATCGGGGGCTCGAAATGCGTGTGATCGGTGGTGGTATGTGCCAGTGGCTTGCATTGGTATTGATGTGATGGGGAGTGTGCTTGCGAGGTTCGCTCTTCTGAGAGAGAACATTGTTTTGGTATTCTTCAGTCCACTAGCTCGCAATAAGATGTGATATATTCATGCCTATTGATATTGATGCCTGCCCCTACCTTTATGTTTGCGTTTGAAGATGACAAAGAAATGCTGGCAAACTGAGAGAAACACTAGCCCTTATATTGCAGGAGTATATTGTACAAAGCAAAGTACTGGTACTGGTACCTCATTATGATCTTGCCAACATTGTGAGCCTATTGAGGCATACAGCATGTAATTAATCCATTGCATGCCATTATATCAGCGATTCATTTTGGCAGTAGGGGCTGGTGTGAGCAGCTCATTAATGGACATGCTCAGTATAGGCTCACATTATATGACTTTGCAAAACTGTCTTTCCCTAAAAATATCTGAAAATGTAGCTTTATTATTGCTGATGCAAATTGTACCGTCTTCACAAATCTTGTATGCAGGCAAGCACTGCTCCTGAGTAATCAGTGTCATAGTCACTGCAGTTTGCCTGGGATGTTGGGTGCTGAGAAAGGTGGAAAAGCATTGCTGTTGGTGCCTTGGACAGCACTTAATAATATGTTTATCATGAGCCTGGTATGCACTGGCAGCTTTATCACTTACCTTGCATTTTGCCCATCCAACCATAACTACATGCACTTGTCATGTCTCCAGCCCTGTGCAAAGTCAGCATGTTTGCAGTGTCATTTCAATACATGTAAAATTTTCCTGTTATTTTTTAGTAAAGCAGCCTGATGGCTGCGGAATGTTGCATGACCATGAAAGTGAAAGATGTGTTTGCACCCTTCTCACCTGCGTTTTCTGGATTCCCAAAGCAGGCTGAGCAAGTGATGCCAATTATTTGGTTGTCTGATTTACTGAAAGTGATTTGTATGTTGTATCATGTATGTTTGGTCAGTCA